GCTCCAGCCTTCTGATCATCTTCGTGGCCTCATCTGGACTCACACCAACAGGTCCGTGTCCTTCTTATGTTGGGGGGCCCAGAGCTGGACACAGTACTCTAGGTGGGGTCTCACCAGAGCGGAGTAGAAAAGGAGAGTCCCCTCCTTCGAACTGCTTTTGATGCAACCTAGGACAAGGTCGGCTTTCTGGGCTGTGAGCTCATATTGCTGGGTCATGTTGGGCTTCTCATCCACCAACACTCACAAGTCTTTCTCTTCAGGACTGTTCTCAATTCATTCTCTGCCCACCCTGTATTTGTGCTTGGGATTGTCCCAACCCACATGTAGGACCTTGCACTTGTCCTTGTTAAAATTCATGAGATTTGCATGGGCCCACCTCACTGGTAGTCCAAGAGCCAAATCCTTTCAAATTAGAAGCTATTCCTACCATAGGGTTTCATGGCTGTCTTTGTAATGGTTCCATCCTGGTGTAACTGAGTGGGATAATGTGATATTACTAGGTTGCAAAGCCAATCTGATGGTCTTGATTTGTCCTGAAGTTCCTTGGTATTATTTTATTAACAAGACTCTAAAACTGAGGGAGAAAGAACACAGCCTCTGAGCTACGCTGCCCACGGCAGCTGCCACCCCGCACCACCTCCTGTCTGCTGACCCTGTGCCACTGGTGCTGCCACTGCTCCACACACCAGTACTACTTCCCGGCTTTCCATTGGAACTGCGTTGCCATCTTGGCAGCATAGAACTTAAGAGGGTGGGTTTAGGTGACATTATTTCTGCTATTGTTTGGTTTTGTTTTGTTCTGTTTTGTTCTCCGTTTTTAGTAAAACTGTTATTAATTTTCTTCTTCCCTTAGATGCATCATAATTTCAACAAAATTCATAATTTAGGGGGAGGAAAATAAATGAAGAAGAAAGGGGAGTTGGTTCTATTCCATCAGAGGTCCAGCCTCATGGGACATATTGTCAGTAAACCAAGACAATAAATTTGGCTTTCCCAATGTGACGCATTGAGAGAAAAAGTGGAAAAAGAATAACAGTTTTGAATAATCCATTTGTGTATTGGATATAGAACCCCTCAGGCATCATGTTGTTTGACTTATTCCTGTTTATTTGGCATGTATTCCTGCCTATGTATTTCCCATTCATCAGTGTTTATCTCAAAATGGGTTCTAAAACCAAGGTAGCTGTGACTATTTTTCAGTTTGTAACTTGGATCCGTGAGGTTGTAAATTCAATGCCTATAAGTCTCGTTTGGAATGTGTTTACAGGGCTGTTTTCCTATCATAAGCTGTTATTCTTGGGGGTTTAGTGATAATGGCACCTAATCTGGGGGAGAAACGCAGAGGAGCGTTTTTTCCCAATCCTTCACCCATTTCTCCTTCAGGTCTGCTACAACAGTTTTTGAAGGGTTTAAATTCCCTCTAGATGTTAGAGATATCTTACTCTTTGTGGTATGTCTGGCAGTTTGCATCATTATGCTCTATCCTATTGTAGTGGGTGTCTGTGGCTGGGTTTTCATAGCAGGAAGGCTACAGGGGTGGCTTCTGTTAGAAGCCGCTAGAAGCTTCCCCTGTCTGGTGGAGCCAATGCCAGACAGCTCCAGGACGGGCTTCCTGCTGCTGACCAAGGCCGAGCCAATCAGGAGTAATAGTAATGCCTCTGTGATAACATATTTAAGAAAAGAAGGTTGTTGCACAGAAAGAATTCCAACCAGGTGTCCTGGTTAGAACGGCTGGGACCAATTCATCCCTGGATGGGTGTAACCCAAAACTGTGTATTCTATAGCCTCCATGCCATTTCCCAAAAACTGCTGTCAGTAGAGGCCTGCAAGGTGGGAAGATGTTCCTGTACCCTTTTATGGAATTCCCCGCTCTGATATCCTTATATGGAATTCCCTGCTCTAATACCCTTTTATGGAAGAGGGACTGAGCATCCGCATGCCCTTTTATGGAATTCCCTACTCTGAGGGAGGGACTGAGCACTCCTGCCTGAACTGGAGAGTATATAACTGGGAGTTTCAGAGCCTTGGGGCTCTCTCTCGTGGGACCCAGAGGAAGACAGCAGACCACCGCTGCTCCCAACCAGGCTGAGACCACCACCCTCGACTGGACTGCAATCACCACTTCTGACCAGACTGCAGCAGCTCTCCCACCAGCAGGTTTATTCCCTCTCCCTTTGCTTTGGACTCGGGGGGTGGGCCAAGGTACACCACTTTTGTTCATACCCCAGGGTGCTGGGTTTGTACATTTGGGTTTTGTGGATTAAAACCAATTGTCTGTCTGTATAATTGTACTTATTGCATTATTTTAATAAATTGTTATTCTGACTTATAAATCTCTCTTTTGAATTGAGTTCATTTTGCCTTGCTGGTTAACTTTTAAACCAGCACACCAGGGAAGAGCGGAGTGAGAACATGGGAACAACAAAGCAGACACCAAGGTCAGTGCAGAAGGAGGGAGAGGAGTGCTCCAGGTGCTGGAGCTGAGGCCCCTGCAGCCCGTGGTGAAGACCATGGTGGAACAGGCTGTCCCCCTGCAGCCCATGGAGGACCATTGGGGTGCAGAGACCCACCTGCAGCCCATGTTGGAGCAGGTGGATGCACAAAGGAGGCTGTGACCCCGTGGGAGGCCCAAGATGGAGGAGGGTCCTGCCAGAGACCTGCAGCCCATAGAGAGGGAAGCCCACGCTGGAGCAGGTTTTTCCCAGGTAGGACTTGTGGCCCCTGTGGGGGACCAGTGCTGGTACAGCTCATTCGTGAAGAACTGCTGCCTGAGGGATGGGTTCACGCTGGAGAGGTCCATCAAGGACTGTCTTTCTCTGAGCAGCAGCAGAAACAACTGACCGTAACCTCCATTCCCTGTCCCCCTGCACTGCTGGGGGGGAGGAGGGAGAACATGGAAGGAAGGAGGGCTGGGGGGAAGGTGTTTTTAAGACTGTTTTATTTCTCACTCTTTGACTCTTATCCTGTTAGTAATAAATTTAAGTAATATCCCCACTTTGAGTGTTTTGCCCATGCAGATAATTCCTGGGAAGAAGGGGTCTTTAGATAATCAGTAACTGACCTCTCACAGCTCTTAACTCATGAATCCTTAGCTGTTTTTTTTTTTCTCTCTCTCCTCTGTCCAGTTGCAGAGGGAGAGTGAGAGAGTGGCTTTAGTGGGTACCTGGCATCTGGCCAGGGTCAACCCACTACACCTATGTATGAAGCTAGGACCAAGATCTATTGGGAAGGTATCCAGAAGCCCACCCCAGGAGTGGAGAGTTTCTAGTGGCATGGGTTGTGGGAGGACATGGGTAAGTTCTTGTGATGCCTAAAATGGAAGAAAAAATTCTACAAACAATATTAATATAGATAAGATAGAAAGCAGTTCTTTAATGAAAGCTTTCAGGGGCACACCCACATACAGAATTCTCACACTTTTATAACTCTGACTAATTATCATATCTAGTGGGTACATCCAACCCAAAGACCACTCTTGCCCCAGGTACCACCCTCAGAACTGCCCCGTTGGAGCCCTCCAAGGGTTCTGGGCCTTCTATCTTGTTTTGACTACAATATATCTTATTATTCCAGTCCACGTGCATATGTCCCAAACAAGATGTGCTTGCTAGAGTACTTTCCCTTGAAAAGAACAATAAACAAACCTGAAGAATTTAGAAAATTCAATATGAAGCATGAGAACAGGATTTGGTAACTGTCAACTGCTATTCTAAGTGTTAGAAACTGTACAGCTATACTAAAAATCCATATTTACTACAAATCTTAAGAATTCTAAGCATTATCTCCCCACTTAGAGACTTGACAAAAATTCTTTCTTGTCTAGTCCCTACCACTTATATTTAACATACCATAAAAATGACCAATACCTACAGCATCGATTCACACAGTGAGTTATTATGCAGACACTAACTATGAATATAACTAATATGAACAGCTGTTTTATCCGAGTCCAGTTCAGTAACCACAAAGTGAGTTTATGGAGGATATCACCAAAGCCCAATGAGACATCATGGAGAGTTATTTGTATTTCAGTTCTGTCTGTGATGTGGCTTGACCGCTAGTGTGTTTTCTCCCCCTTGCATTTCACTCTGCACAGCTCAGTTCTTCTGTTTGCACAGTTGGGGGCAGCTTCTGTAAGGCAAGGGAGGGTGTGGGGTTGGACCGTGCCACTGTTCGTTGCTCAGGGGGGGTTTGGATTGGCTTGGTACAACCAAAAACCCTCTCTAAGCACTCCTCTCCCTCCTTCTCTCTAAGCCCTCTTCTGTATTGAAATAGCCTGTCTGCCAAAAGCTGCTGGTGGTGCTAGGTACCACAACATTCCTTTGTAACCCAAAGGATGCGAGTTCAAACCTGGACCTCAGAAACTTTTTTTTATCTGCTGTTTTTGTATGAAAGTGGTGTGGTTAAAATCGCTGTGCAATGTGTGACGGAATGACTCGCAGACTTCTGGTTTGATGGACAGAAATCACTTTATGCCCCATGATCCAAGGTTTTTATATCATGCACTTCCCACTGGGAGTGGTTAGGCAAATCAAGGCTGAACACAGCTGCAAGTCACACATCAATCACTCTCACAGGCCAGCCTGTCATGCACACTGTCGTGAGTTGAGGTGGCTGGGTTCTTGGTAGCGGGGGGGGCTACATAGGGTGGCTTCGGTTAGAAGCTGCTAGAAGTTTCCCCCCCAATGAAGCCAATGATAGCTGGCTACAGGAGGGACTTTCTGCTGCTGGCCAAGGGAGAGCCAATAATTACACCTCTGTGATAACATATTTAAGAACAAGTTTGTTCCGCAGAAGAATTTTCCAAGCAGGGGAAATCTGACCAAAGCTCCCAGGCAGCCCCGCTGCCTCCCCTGCTGCAGGGGGCAGCCGCGGCAGCCTGGTCCAGGCCTTTCAGCACCTAGCCCGGAGCAGGCAGCGGTGCCCTGTCCGAGCCACCTGTGCTGCTCTCAGCAGTGCTGGTTGAGCCGAGCGGCAGGCCCTGTGAAGGGACAGCTGGGGTCAGGCCAGGGCAGCCTGCCACGGTGCAGCCAAGCCCATGCTGGAGCAGATGGATGCATGGAAGAAGGCCATTACCCCCCATGGAAGGCCCAGGATGGAGCAGAGTCCTTCAAGAGACTTGTGGCCTGTGGAGAGCAAAATCCACGCTGGAGCAGGTTATTCCCAGGTAGGACTCATGGACCTGTGGGGGATCCACATCAGTACAGCTCATCCTATGAAGGACCGTCAGGGTGTAGAGATCCCCCCTGCACCCCATAGAGAAGTGACCCTTGGGACAGTAGATATGGAAGAACTACTGCCTGAGGGGTGGACCCACGTTGGAGAGGTCCATCAAGGACTGTTATCCATGGGAGGGACCCCACAGAGCAGGGGAAGGACTCAGAACTGTGACCCCCCTGTAACCTGTGGTGAGGACCATGGTGAAGCAGGCTGTCCCCCTGCAGCCCATGGAAGGGTGACCTACGGGACAGCAGATTTGGAAGACCTGTTGCCCGAGGGGTGGACTTGTCTCCCTGCACTGCTGTGGGGGGAGGAGGGAGAACCTGGAAGGAAGGAGAGGTGGGTGGAAAGTGTGTTTAAGACTGTTTTATTTCTCACTCTTTAGCTCTTATCCTGTTAGTAATAAATTTTAGTATTAACCCCACGTTGAGTCTGTTTTGCCTGTATGACCTCTCTCAGCTCAGAGCAACTTTAGTGGGTGCCTAGAATCCAACCAAGGTCAACCCATGGCACACACACACACAAAGACCTTGGAGTTTCAAGTTACTCTACACTCCCCCCGCAAACCCAGCTCTACTCCCTGGACTGTAAACCAAGGCTTTAGATAAACATTACAAGGTCATCTAGACATTTCCCAGGCCTTTTCTGATCTTCTTCTTTCTTGTTCTCATACTGACTTGCTACATCTCCCCCCTTTCTGTATTCAGCACGATTGAGGAAGACAGCTATCGGTCGGCGCTCGATGATTCCACTCGATGGGAAATTCGATGTAGTCACTGCAAAATTTGGCAAAGATTACTACAATTCACACCACAACTTACTTCTATTTTACAAGGCATGTCGTCTATCGTCTAGCCACATGATAGCAGATTCTAAGGCATCTAAACAATCCATAAGGGCTTAATTAACTTGCTTAAATTCAGAGCTCTTGCAAGATGTTATCAGAGGCAGTGTAATCTACACAGATTTCCGTTAATAAGGTGACTGCAACAGAGGCAGTAACTAAAATGACTACTGCAAATACGATGCAGAATAACTAAGCAATACAGACCTTAGATGCAGAAAAGATCAAGGCCAAGTAAGCTAAAAGGATGTTGCCAGGGGTTTATACTGCACCCACTGTTGTCATGATACATTATACTTGCTCATCTAGAAGTTCAAGTCGACCCCAGATAATGCAGGTGTCACTGGTCATCTGTTCTCTCTTCCTGGCTCTGTTGCTCCAAGGTATCACCTGCAGGCTCTGGGTTTCTGGAAGTGGATTCTGCAGTTCGTCATTCCAGCTCGTGATAAGGCCATATATATTTAGCTGGCAACCACCTAGGTCCTGCAGGAAGAAGAACACACACATACCCTCTTCCCCAAATAATTAGCTCAACAGGTCCTTCCCACTGATGTGTCTCAGGATCTTTATACCAGACCTTTGGTTTAGATGCTGAAAAGGGTTTTGCTGAAAAATGTTGCTGTACTGCAGTAGTTGGAGAGATATTGTCCTGCATATTCAAAAAATTTAAAGCATACAGGACTTTTTGTACCTGATCATGCACTGAGGTTAAGGTATTCCCCTTTTTTGTTTTTCCAGCACTGCTTTCAGAGTGCGATGAGTACGTTCCACAATAGCTTGGCCCGTGGGAACATGAGGGATACCAGTAACGTGTGACTCCCCAGTCCTGCAAAAAACACAGCGTCGAAGCAGCAGTGTAGGCAGAGCCATTGTCTGTTTTGATAGATTTTGGCACACCGATGACTGCAAAAGTAGCGAGCCAGTGGCTTCAAGCATCTTTAGCTTTTTCACCTGTCAGAGACTGAAACGGTTAATGATTTATGCATTCTAGGAGACTTTTGCAGGCTTTTGACTTTTGCATTATACCTCTGATGGGCAGTTGGGCCCATCCCTCCCTCCAGTACTGAAGGTGTCAAGCCCTGAAAAGGCAGGAAGAGCCGAGTTTACCATGCCCTCCACATGAACTCTGCGCCGAAACGTTGGGGGTTTTGTTGCTATGCCCCCAGCTGGGGGGCTATAGGGACTTGGAACAGTATTAAACTGGGCTAAGTATCTGTCGCTGAGAAGCTGGGAGTTTTTTTTCCCTCCACCATGGACAGCAGGAGCAGCGGTGGCAGAAGAAGCAGCGTACGGAGGGCAGAGAGCCAAGAGATAAGAGAGAAGCAGCAAAGCCGGCATGCAGCCAAGGAAGACACAGAGATCTCTAATGGAGAGAGAGATAGCAGGACTAAGCCCTGAAGAGACAGAGTTTGGGGTAAGAACTGAAAACCAAAACTCCCCAAACCCCTCTGAGACCTCCTAGAAAGGAGGAGGAGATGGACTCTTACTTGAGAAGAGTTTTGGAGTGTGACAGCACCGAAAAGAGAGGAGCTGAGAAGCTCGACTCAGGGGTGAATCCCCTGAGGAAGGGACCTTCATGGGATGTCTTACACCCCATATGACATGGTGAGGCAAGCCTTGTCCCTGCTATGCAGTCCATGGAAGAGAAAGACCCTCGCTTGGAGTCGAAGGGCCGAGAGGGGCTTGGAGACCCCCCTCGTGTGTACTGGCAGAGATCCAGCTACAGCTGCTGCATGGAAGAAGAGAGCCTGCTGCCCTAGAGACATTGCTGCTCTGAGAGTGGAAAGGATCTCTTCCTTCTTCCCTCCTGGACTTTTATTTGGAGGAAGAAGAGATTTGATCCATTGTAAATACTGCTTTATCATGGTAGAGATAGTTGAGATTGTGTGTGAATGTATTATAATATTTATTTGTAAAGTCATTGTAATATAATCCCTTCCCCCCATTTTGAGTCTCGTGTGGTGTCTGGAAAACCCATCTCACACTGGGTTGAGATGAGGGAGGGGGGCTTGGACTCGAGAATTGGATTTTGGGGCTCTCAAACCATTACATTGCTGTAGAGACAGAAGGGATTAAAAAGTTGAATGCATTGCCTGGCCTTTCAGAGAAACCTTCTGCTGTGGGACTACTAAGGGTTGAAGAATAGCAGGTGCCAATTGTCACTGCAACAGTGCATCATTGGCAATACCACACGAACCGAGACTCTGTGATACCCATCCATAAGATCACCCGTGAGCTGGAGAGCCAAGGAGTGGTCAGCAAGACCCGCTCACCCTTCAGCATCCCTATTTGGCCTGTGTGTAAGCCCAATGGAGAATGGAGATTGACAGTGGACAGCGGACAGTGGTCCTTCCTGAAGCCTCTGGCAGAAAGTGCCTGGGGAGACTCTAGGCCAACTACTTGGATTCTGGAGTCGAAGCTACAGAGGATCTGAGGCCAACTACATTCCAATGGAGAAGGAGATTCTAGCAGCCTATGAAGGAGTTCAAGTCACTTCAGAAGTGATCAACACAGAAGCACAGCATGGAAGCACCCCAACTACCAGTGCTGGGGAAGATGTTCAAAGGAAAGGTTCCCTCCACACATCATGCCACTGACGCTATATGGAGTAAGTGGATTGCGTTGATCACGCAAGCGCACCCAAATCGGGAACCCTAATCACCCTGGGATCTTGGAGATAATTACAAATTGGTCTGAAGGTAAGAATTTTTGCATGGCAGGTGAAGAGGAAGAACAGGTAGCACATGCTGAGGAAGCTCCACCATGCAATCAACTACCAGAGCACGAAAAGCGATATGCTCTTTTCACTGACCATTCCTGTTGCATTGTAGAGATGAATTGGAAATGGAAAGCAGCCATATGGAGCCCCACACGATGAGTTGCAGAAGCCACGGAAGGACAAGGTGGATCAAGTCAAGTCACAGAGCTCGGAGCTGTCTAACTGGCTTTGCATATTGCCAAATGAGAGAAGTGGCCAAGACTTTACACTGACTCATGGATGGTGGCCAATGCTCTGTGGGGGTGGTTGGACAGATGGAAGAAGGCCAATTGGCAACATAAAGGGAATCCAATCTGGGCTTCTGAAATGTGGCAAGACATCATGGCCCAGGTAGAGAAGCTGATCATGAGACTTTGCCATGTAGATGCACACATGCCCAAAAGCTGAGCAAATGAAGAACATCGCAACAACAAGCAGGCAGACCGAGCTGCACAAGTCAAAGTGTCGCAGATAGGCCTTGATTGACAGGAGAAGGGAGAGTTGTTCCTTGCTCGATGGGCCCATAATGCCTCAGGTCATCAGGGAAGAGATGCCACCTACAGGTGGGCATGAGACCAAGGGGTGTATTTAACCATGGACACTATCTCCCAGGTTATCCACGATTGTGAAATATGCACTGCAATCAAGCAGGTTAAGAGAGTGAAACCCCTGTGGTACAGTGGGCAATGGAATAAGTATAGATATGGAGAGGCCTGGCAGATTAATTACATCACAGTGCCACAAACTTGCCAAGGTAAGCGCTATGTGCTCACCGTGGTGGAAGCAACAACCACATAGCTGGAAACATACTCTGTCCCTCACACAATGGCCCAGAACACCATCCTGGGCAAGTCTTGTGGTGACATGGCACCCCAGAATGAATTGAGTCAGACAATGGGACCCATTTCAAGAATAGCCTAAAGAGCATGGGCTAAAGAGCATGGTATTGAGTGGATATATCATATCCCCTATCATGCACCAGCCACTGACAAGGTTGAATGGTGTAATGGACTGTTGAAAAATACTTTAAAGGCATTGGGCAGGGGGACTTTCAAGCATTTGGATCAGCATTTAGCAAAGGCTACTTGGTTAGTCAACACTAGAGGCTCTGCCAACCGAGCTGGCCCTGCCCAATCAGAGTCCCTTCACACTGTAGATGAAGTCTCCATGGTGCACCTGAGAGGTATGTTAGGGAAAACAGTTTGGATTAGTCCCACCTCAAGCAAAGGCAAACCCATTTGTGGGATTGTTTTTGCTCAAGGACCAGGTTGCACTTGTTGGGTAATGCAGAAAGATGGGGAAACGTGGTTATACAACCCAAAGGGACCTAATTTCTGGATAAACTGTCTGTAACACTGTGCCTGTATGTATATATTTGTAAATGTGTATAAAATTGGAAAGTTTCAAATACGATATAACATGACGGTATGAAAAAAATTGGGGTGGATAATGTTATAGTTTAGATAAATGAAGAAGATGATTTTTTTTTGTTGAATTTTTTCATATCATCATCTAGTTTTGGAAAATGAAGGGCGGGGGGTTGTCAGGAAATGCCGCAAGAATGTAAGGGATAAAGCTTGCTGGAGCAACCAGAACTCTCTCTTCTCTGGTTCCAGTAGGGGGGTACAAACGCAGCGGCGCAGTTGGGCTGTTCTCTCGCCGTAGCTGTTGGCTTTGGCTGTTTTGTCCTGTCTTGCTGCTGCTGCTCAACTTGTCTGCACCTGCAAGCCATGATGCCCATGGCAGCTGCCACCCCTCGCCGCCTCCTTGCTGCTGGCCCCGTGCCACCAGAGCTGCCTCTGCTCTGCACACCAATATCACCCCTGGCTCTGCACGTGACCTCTGTTGGGACTGCATTGCCGTCTTGGCGGCATAGAATTTGAGAGGGTGGTTTAAGGTGACATTTTTTTTGCTATTGTTTTGTTGGGTTTGGTTTGTTCTTCATTTTTAGTAAAACTGTTATTAATTTTCTACTTCCCTCAGATGCCTTGTAATTTCAACACAATTCATAATTTAGGGGGAGGGAAAAAAATGAAGGAGAAAGGGGGTGGTGGTGTTCTATTCCATTGGAGGTCTTGTCTCCTGGGACATATTGCCAGTAAACCAAGTCAGTGCTGTTTCTGTTCTCTTAGGTGAACATTGAAGACATTGGCAATAAATGTGTCTACCAATTCCCAGTTGGATGCTGGCTTGCTTTAGATGATGGCAAAATCCAAAGGGACATTTCTGTTGGAAGCACTGGAACCACAGGTAAAGTCATGGGCTGAATCCATGGTGGGAAATACAAAGATAGAAAGGCCTAATTAATGCTACTATACATATTTTCCTTAGAAGATTGAATGCCGTACGCTTAGGGAGACCTGTAGTGGACCATCTGCTGGTGGCAGGCTGTTTTGTGCAAGGGTCCCTGAACCACCATCGCATTTCCCACCTCAGTCTCTCACTGGTCAAGCTGTGCCGGACCTACATGCTGATTTATCACCTGGTGCACCAGGATAAGGGGTTGATGGGCAGAGGATGAAAGATCCAGCTTTTACTTTAGCAAGTTGCTCACCGGTTTTCAGAAAGTGGATATCTTTTTCCACAGTCACCAATGTGCCACACAGTAGAGAATATTATACTTCAGATTCTTGGCTGGGGAACTTTACATCCTTTTACAAAACAAAAAAAGTGGCTTTTTTATTATCCAACATGGTCAAAGCAGAGACAACCAAAAGTTATGTCTCTCTTAAAAGAAACATGGATGTAAAGTCAATAAAAGAACTTGCCATGAGGCAGAAGATTATTTGAATAGTGTTCTGTCTGTATTTATTCAGTAGCATAAAGGTAAACACTTTGACTATGCACAAACTAGAACAGCTATTCTTTACTTCCTTGGATGGTCTTCAACATCTGCAGTCCTTGTATTCCCTCCTGCATATGCATGAGAAAAATGGTCTGGGCACAGAGTCCTGACTGCAGGATGTGTGTTAGGGGAAGGTGGGAAAGAAATCTGAAAAAAATATAATTCATTTACTAAGAACTTCCCTTATTTTTTATCATTCATGATTGTGCATTTTTTTCCTGCTATCATGAGTTTTCTTGAAGATATATGCACAGTAAAACATGATTGAATACAATTTTTAACATAAACTGCAGAGACAGGATTGTTTAGAAGACAGTGAGTTCTGATGTTTCTATTTCATCCAAAGTCCTTTTTGAAATTTCTGGGTAATTTAAGGAAAGAACTTAGCTTGGGCCCCAACCATTCTATACACACTGCCTAAAACACTGTTATAGTGTTTTAGGTGTCTATTTGATGCCATGACACAGGTCTAAGATATGCCTGTCTACAAGCCTTCTGAGAAGGTGTGGTGGGTTGACCTTGGCTGGATGCCAGGTGCCCACCCAGCCACTCTATCACTCTCCTTCCCAGAGGGACAGGGGAGAGAGCAAGGTGGAAAAGGGAAAAAAACCCAAAACAACTTGTGGGTTGAGATAAGACAGTTTATTTAAAGCAAAAAAGCAAAGTGAAGCTTGCACACGCAGAAGCGAAGGATAGCAGGTTTTAGTCTCTACTTCCCATGAGCAGTGGTGGTCGGCCACTCCTGAGAAGCAGGGGTTTGGTACGCGTGACGGTTCCTCAGCAGGCAGCCATTAGACAATGAATGCCCCCTTCCTGCTCTGTGCCTTATTTTTTATATCTGAGCTGACATCATATGGTATGAAATATCCCTTTGGTCAGTTTGGGTCAGCTGGCCTACTTGGGTCCCCTCCCAGGATCTTGCCCTCAACTAAGGAAGGAATGTTACAGTGTTGGTGCTGTGCTCAGCAGTAGCCAAAACACTGGTGTGTTATCAACACCCTTCTAGCTACCAATGCAAAGCACAGCACTGTGAGGGCTACTGTGGGGAAATGAACTCCAGCTCAACCAGACCCAATACAGAAGGTTTGTAGGAAGAAGTGTTTTCTTTCTTAGACCAACAGTTAGAGGTAGAAAAAAACAAGTAAACTTTTATGCATATATATTTCTTTTCAGAAATAAGTTTCTTTCTTCCAGCTGGGCTAATACCTTTCCCAAGCCTTGTTTTGCTGAGATCTTTGGGCTCTCACAGTGACAGTGAAGGTCCTGCTGGCTTCAGCAGCATTATAGGCTACTGACCCCAAGTTTCCAGGGGTTTGTGATGATACAGATCTTGCTACCACTGTTTAAGCAACACTTCTCCATCCTCTCAGCATCATCTGACATATTTGGTGCTTGGTACCTCTCAAAATCTAGTGACTTAGTTGCTACTTCAATTTTTTTTGCCTTTCTTCACGTAATCATCACCATATGGTAATAAAAACAACTTTTTTCCATTGGGCCATGTGTCAGGGAGTTTATCACCACAAACCTGTTTCTCTTGGACAGTCTAAAGGTAACTGTGAGTTTCTCAGAGGTACACATGGGACAAAACCAATGAAGCTTTGCACTGTGCATAAATCGAAAGCTAAAAAAGACCAGGAGAAACCAGTAGAGTCCAATGTAAATCCAATCAAAATTATTGCTTTCAGCATTTTTTCATCCCTTCTTTTCTTCCTAACTGAATTCCTGATTCCTTCAGATATTGTGTACAATGTGGCTGTAGTGACAGGAAATATCAGAGGAGATGGCAAAAACTCCAAGATCCACGTAATCCTCCACAGCTTCAAAGGCCTAAAGAACAGTGGGAAGATTTTCTAGAAAGGAGGTGAATTTGAGCGTGC